CCCCCCCCCCCCCCCCCCCAGCGACCCTGAACAGAATAAGAGGTTACGTATAATGGATGGATTGTATTATGAACAATATATATAAGGTAATCCTAGTCACAGCCAATTGAGACTCTGATCAAGCACACAAAACTTTTTTTACAAGTACTACAAGTACTAAAGGTCCTGGATTTAAAAGCATACGTCAGTAAACAGACATAAATATTATCAGCAATGTACTTATAGGGACAGTGTGTAAGTTTTAATGGCATGTAGTACCAGGGGTTTGTGGCAGATTGCAACCAACGAAATACTCAAGGGTGTCGGAGAACTACGTGGCCTTCAGGAAGGGAGAGGTATCTTTAGGATTGTATTACTACTAGGAGCTACTCTTATCAATTCTCGGCTTTTCTGCATGACTAAATCATTGTTTTAAATCTCCTGTCTTCTGTCCACCTGTCTTCTGTCCTCCTGTCTTCTGTCCTCCTGTCTTCTGTCCACCGGTCTTCTCTCCTCCTGTCTTCTGTCCCCCGGTCTTCTGTCCTCCTGTCTTCTGTCCACTGGTCTTCTGTCCTACGGTCTTCTGTCCTCCTGTCTTCTGTCCACCTGTCTTCTGTCCTCCTGTTTTTTGTCCTCCTGTCTTCTGTCCTCCTGTCTTCTGTCCACCGGTCTTCTCTCCTCCTGTCTTCTGTCCTCCTGTCCCCCGGTCTTCTGTCCTCCTGTCTTCTGTCCACTGGACTTCTGTCCTCCGGTCTTCTGTCCTCCTGTCTTCTGTCCACCTGTCTTCTGTCCTCCTGTCCACCGGTCTTCTGTCCTCCTGTCTTCTGTCCACCTTGCTGCTTTGTCTCAGCTGGCAGAGAAGGTTACAAAAACAGCTTTTTTCCGATCGTTCATGCTGCGCTTGTGTAAACTTAGCGGCGGTGGCAGACTAAATTAGGTTTTACATGTTCACATAAAGTGTTGGCTTTTTACTTGTGACTGTTTTATTGCACTTACAGAAACAAGCGTAGTTGCCGTCAACTCCAGTAATCTTCACTTCACCTGGTTCACTTCACCACAGCGGCCTCTCTGCTCGCACTTTGTGTGTCTATATTTGTGTCTATACATGTGTGTGCGTGTGTTTCTGTGTGTAGTTGTCTCTATATGTGTGTGTTTGTGTCTCTATATGTGTGTGTGTAGTTGTCTCTATATGTGTGTGTGTAGTTGTCTCTATATGTGTGTGTAGTTGTCTCCTAATGTGTGTTTGTGTCTCTATATATGTGTGTTTGTGTCTCTATTGTGTTAAATCAAATCTCAACTGCTTCAGATTCATCAGAAAGTATCTGCCATTCAGCACAGCTCAGCTCTACATGCACGCCATGATATTCTCACACCTATCATACTGCATCACTACCTGGTCACAAGCCTCACAATCAACTATACAACCCATCATATCACTGTATAACCAGATATTAAAAAAGCAATGAGGTGGCACATCTCAGAAAAACACAATGTGTTCAGCTTTGAAAGCTTCATAAGATATTCCAACTTGGTCGGCCGCAGTGATGCGGAAAAAATATTGAGGGGCCATTTACAAAGACATTTATTTGTATATCTAAAATAACATCAAACTATATTAAAATGCATGACCTAATGACCTTTGAATGTCAACATGCCGATCACTACACATCATAGAGACAGACAGGTTTAGCCACAGCTAGCTAGCTAATGCTCCCTCGGAGACACAATGGACCGCTTTTTGAACGCTGTGCCAGTAAAAGCTCCAACGTGTGGGGTGAGAAAATATGACCCTCAAAACACTACATTTGTATTCATAATGGCAGGCAGTGATGGCCGTGGGTAAGCAGAATATTTGTTTCATATTTATCAATACAGCTGACGGTGGCATAACACATATTTACTGTCTACTTGATTTTTTTTCCTCTTCCTTTTTGTGATTTTGTTTTTGCCATTTATTTGGGAAGGTGGTCAGATGAGTTACAAAGGGCTGAGAACCTCATGCCTACAGTGTTCCACAGACCAGTGGAGCCAGACCTAAATAGTCCTTTTAAATAAAGTATTTCAAAGTAATTAATGGAATTTATATGCACTATTATTCAAGCCAATGGATAATAGAAGGCCTAAAAATATGTCGTTTGGGAAAAAACATAATAGTTGACAAGGGAAAAAAAACCTGCTGTAGAGCCTCCGTGCTATTTGGTTTTGTCAAGCTGTCCTCGTCAGTCTGAGACCAGAAGACAACTCATGTTTAGAAGGATTCACTTTCACTCACGTCACCTAAAAAGAGACAGAACCTGTCTGAAGTTATATAGGTATATATGCTAAACAGCATTACTAGCATCTCAAAATCTATTTTGTTCTTCTATGCTGGAGTAGAATTCACAGAATGAATGTTAAACTGACAAATCTGCTACATTTGAATCCACGTCATAATTATCTGGGCAGCTCTGCAAATCAAAGATCCACAAAAAGGCCAAGTAAATGCAGTGTTCAATACATATTAGTAGTAGTAGTAGTAGTAGTAGTAGTAGTAGTAGTAGTAGTAGTAGGAGGAGGAGTATAATAGTAGCAGCATGACAATGTCAGGGTGGACATAGATGATAATACTTCCCTGGTAATAAAACTTTTGCTCTATTGATTTGCTGGTCTTAAATATATATAATTACAGTACAATGTAAAATATCTGTTTAATATTGCAAAGACAAATGATACACGTCATGTATAAAGTAGACAAACATTTTCAGACTAAAGCAATACATGATGTGTGTGTGTGTGTGTGTGTGTGTGTGTGTGTGTGTGTGTGTGTGTGCGTGTGTGTGTGTGTGCGCACTTATGAAAGTAAAGTCCAAACCTTTGTCCTTGACTTTGCTTCCTCATGACTAATATGTTTCCTACAGTTGAGTCTGTAAACTGAGGCTGCTTTTTCCTCATGTGTCTTTCTGTATTTATTGCAGCTTTAAAAATTCCTTTTCATTTTTAGATTGGTCTGAGTGAGGTTTACATATATTTGGAAAGTGATGGGTTTTGATTCCCAGTTTAAATTTTACTGTAAAACCCCATCCCTATATGGGTAACCTGCCCTTTTTCTATTGGACGACGGATCATCAGGATCATCAGGATTCTCTCTCTCTCTCTCTCTCTCTCTCTCCTGCTGTGTCTCTGTGCTTTTGACTCTTTGGGCGCTCGATATCAGGCAGACGGTTTAACTGGCCCTGATCCACCTTAAGAGTTCAGCTGCTGTACAAACACTTTGGTTCGGGACCTGTGGATCAAAAGAGGGGCCAGACCCTACGTCTGGATTCCAGAGATGCTGAATCCAGTGCTTTTGGAAATCACCGACTAGTAGAGAACTTTCAGAGAGACTTGAAGAAGCAGCGCATCAGCGGAAAAGAAAAGTGGAGAGGAGAGGGACGAGGACGCCGAGGGGAGGGGGGTTCTGTGTTCAAAACTTCATTAAAACATCAGCAACAAAGTGTAGCTCCGCTACATCTTTTTCTTTAAAAGGTTACCTCTCCAGCCAGCAAAATTCCACCCAAAAGCAGACAACAGGATCGGCCTGCGCTCACGCGGCTGGTCGGCAGGAAGCGGCTAGTGGCAGCAGGGGTCCTGGGGGTCGTAATGGTTCTGGTTCTGGTCATCCTCATCCCGGTACTGGTCAACTCAGCGGGCTCGGCGGCGCACTACGAGATGCTCGGTACCTGTAGGATGGTGTGCGACCCGTACGGCACCAAATCTCCGACTAGCCCCGTCACGGCGGACACGGTCCGAGACAACAGCCTCGCGCAGTCTTTACCCACTTTTATCCAAGGTCCGAAAGGGGAACCGGGTCGTCCGGGTAAGGCGGGTCCGAGGGGACCTCCTGGTGAGCCGGGACCGCCCGGCCTGGCGGGGTCACCGGGAGAGAGGGGCAGACCTGGTTCACCAGGACCTCCGGGACTCAGCGCAGCTGCCGGTGCAATAAGCGCGGCCACCTACAGCACCGTGCCCAAGATTGCTTTTTACGCAGGGCTGAAAAAGCAACACGAGGGCTACGAGGTGCTCAAGTTCGACGACGTGGTGACCAATCTGGGGAATCACTACGATCCGAACACCGGGAAGTTCACGTGTTCCATCCCCGGGATTTATTTCTTCACTTATCACGTCCTGATGCGCGGAGGGGACGGAACGAGCATGTGGGCGGATCTCTGCAAAAACAACCAGGTAACAAACTGCAAACATCCACTATAGTCTGAAGGGCTCCACGTGCGTTTCACCCCACTGTTGTTGTTTATTTTGTACTTTTTACTCACGAGTTTAGGGAGTTCACGCTCCATTTCATTCACCTATAGTCTGCACATCCCACATGCAGCCTGTTCAGGGAACTATTGACTGTAGTTCAGCCATATAACGTCAGCCGTTATTATTAAAGGTGTGTGTGAGGGGGGGGGGGGGGGGGGGGCAGGGTCATGCAAAGCATGGTCACCATAGGTTGGTGGGCTTAGTGGGACAGAGAAGATGGGTAATTAGTCTTCACGGAGACGGAGAGAAGAGGTCCCTTGAACTCTCTGTAAGCCTGAGGACTGAATAAGTCCGGACAGCGGTGCTGCAGGAGCCTCTGGCTATTTTCATATTTCATTCAATCAGAACAAGAGCAGCAATTAATCTGTGACCTCAGAATTTCTCCATCTTTAACAACAAATCACAGTGGAAATATTGTCAGGTAATAGAAATATCACAATGGAAACATCCAGTTAGTCCTGCATTACTATTATTAGTACAGAGCTCTTCATAAAGAAGTGTACATAAGTATGTACAAGAGTTGGAATAATAATGTCTCCTTAGTGTGGATATATATACATATTAAATATAATTGTATTATTATAATTTATAATTACTTGTAAATTAAACAAGGGAAGATGTGTGGTACACTTTTGAAATATCTCTACACAATGTCTGGAAAGTGTACAACCACACAGTTCAGCAAAGCCATCCAATATAAAGTAGAACCATTTATTATCAAATACAGTCAAATAAATGATAAAAGTAAGCCTGAGGATGGACAGAGGCCCTTTGCTGCCTCCTGTCTCCTCATCACAGTGTTCTGCTCTCTGTAGTGATCAGGCTGTCAGCAGCAGATCTAATCCGCGGGGCAAACCAGTGTTGCAGCGTCGCTCTACCAAGCAGACGCCTCCTGCCTGTCAGCCTGCTCCTGTAACGCCGCTGCAGACGCACCGAACACTGCCAACATGTCGGGATTAAACCAGCAGAGCGCACACCGTGACAAATCAGATGCTGCTGAAAGACATGTTTCAATTAGGACTACTGCTACTGAGACCTTTCCAACACGGTCAGAGGACAAACATAATGAACGCGTAATGAAAGAGTCCATCGCCTTGATTTATGATCTATATTGAAATCACTTGATTTAATTGAAAGAAATTGTTTTTCAATCTTACAAGTATTTTTTTTAAGGTCGAACTATTAAATTGTCTTCTTACAATCATTTTCTAAATTAATTCTACCCATTATAGTGTAGTGATCAACTGCGTTCAGTGCTTATTCAAGATACATTCCATTCATATAAATCATTCACGTAAAGAAAAGTAATTCACTTGTTTTTAAGGAAAGTACATCATAAATATACTCCCTTTTTTAAATAACATCTGGAGACATCTGCCTGTCAATTCACTGGCGTCTCCAACAGAGACCGAAATGTTATTTTATTTAAGGCTATTCTCTGATGGTGTAATAGTTTCCATGCAAGTATAGTAATAATTATATTCAACAATAATAATATAAAAGCTACTGCTATCAGATCAGATTTATTCTGATAAGTCATTATTTAGTAACATATAATTATTGGCATTATTTGGCATCTGGATTGAAAACCAAATTCACCAGGAAAGCAGCGGCTGCCAGAAGAACATTCTGCAGATAGTCAATCTTAGTCTTTGTCCCGTCCTCTGTGTGCATGCTCCATCAACCTCCACCTAAACTGCTGCATGTCATCTCATGCTCCTGGTCAACCACTGCACTCTTTTAAACCAACAAATAAAGACAAATTAAATTCAAATGAAACACGTCCTCATTGATGTCTGTAGAATAAAATAATATGCCAATCAAATAAATTCTAAAAATATAAATCTGACAGAGGCAAATCTGCAGCATAGTGAGTACTTGCTAATTGCACATTAGGCTCATAAAAACACATTGTATGCAGGACTTGTAATGGACTGTTTTTTACATACTGCTACTGTAAGTGATCTGAATACTTCTTCCACCACCACATTGCAAGAAAAAAACCTGTTAAAAAAACCCTTACCCAAGATGATAATTAAGTAACAGGAACTTGCAAGCTTATAAAATAGAGGGGTGAATGGTGAATAACGCCAAGGGCCCCACCAGCTGGAGGGGTGCCAAAGAGAAGGAAGAAATCTTGCTCAACACCAAACAAAAAGGACTTTCATATTTTATGACCATAAATAATCACATAATCATGTGATCACACGCTGTGTAAGAGTCATGGTTAACCAGGTGATTGGTGCTCCATTCTAGCCTCGCAGGGGGCTGAGCCGATCCCAGCTGACATTATGCGAGAGGTCAGGGGACCGGCCGCTCTTCTCATTTCTACATTTGGTGCCTCCTTGTCCTCCCTCTCTCTTGCCTCTCCTGCACGCATCTCAGGTGGGAGGGACTGAGAAGTGAGGAGCGAAATCAAGGAAAGTAATCGAGGATTTACACATTTTTTCTTTTTAGACTCACCAATTCACGTGATCTGCATATCTGGGAGAAAACCCACACTGACAGGGAGAGCACGCAAACAGCAGGTGTGTTTGGACCCAGCACACTCTCGCTTCTTGCTGTGAGGTGACAGTGCTATCCACCGCACCTGCAAACATCATAATGTGAACCACACAGGGACAAGACTGGGATCAACTTGTCCTTTAACAAAAGACAGCCTGCAACGACAGATCGTGATCTACAACCTGGAAATAAAGTAGTAGGGGACTCAACAGTACCTACTCAATTTTGATGAGTAGGTATTGCCTATAAATCCAGATGTTTGCTCCTAACTTGACATGCTCTGTGTTGAGAGTGAGTGAGCCGCTGAGCCACAAAATATGTGAACACAGTGGTCAGTTTCAGGTCTTTGTAAGACAGCGCGCAGCGCGGCGGTTCTTTGTGTCTATTTCAGTGACATTCAGTCAGGTGAAACACGTCTCTAAACTGTATGTTGAAAACTTCAGGATGTATTTTTTCAATGCTGAGGTTAATGTACAGACAGATCCACTCTGACATCCTCTCATCATCTCAACACCTGCATGACAGATGCATCAAAGGCACTGCTGCACTGATGATCAGTAACCTGGACAATAATGTCATACAGGTTATGAATAGGCAGGTTTGAGAGTAGAGTAGAGTGGTGTTGAATTTAAAATGATAAAATATTATCAAATTAATTTGATGCAAAAATCAATCCCTGTATCTGATCTTGTCCATGACACAGAAATGCCAGACATGGCCCTGTGAACAACGCTAAATACTTTCCTGTTTCCCGGTGTTGCTGAAATCACACTGCAAGAAAACTGGGTCTCAGTTTCTGGCAGTTTTACAAGCCTGAGAAGCTCGGCAGTACAATCCCATGTCTTCTATATATCTTTAGGTTTTATATCTGTGAATGCACATGAATATCATTTTACAATTCATTTATATATGGATATGACCATTGACACATGCAGCGTTATTGCTTGTCGCAGTTTTAATAAAAAATAATGAATAAACATCAAAAATATGTAGCGATTATTAATAACTCAATTATAAATCGTAAACTCATAAATTAGTATAAAAAGAATAATGGAACTCAGCTTCCACCATAAGACACTTTAACTAGATTTCATTTAGGATGCTACACAATCTTGAAAATCAGGGAAAACTACTAAAAGATCAAACAAACAAAATGAATGGAATGAATAAAGAATATGACGAAGAGTACAATGAATAACGATAAACCACATGTAAAGGAAAAAGGATTGAATGTGATCAGCGTCATCGTTTGACATTAAATGTTGAATAAAAGATGAATGCACCATTCATCGGTTGAGAGTTTGAGGAGCACCAGGGACGACTGAGAAGCCATTTCATATTAGATCTAATGTAAGGGAGATCCTCCTTTAGGCCTGAAGCTTATTGATCTCTTTTATTCATTTTTCTATCTAAGACTATTTTATTATCTGACTTCAATTTATTTGGCCTAGAAACATCAAATGCATTCACATCTGAAATTGTATTCTTTTCACCTGACGTTCTGATGGGCAGATTGGAGGTTAAGCTGCATGAAGTGGCCGCACTTTCTCCTGCGGCATCTCGGATCTTGTTGGATGATAGTAGATTGTTAGAATCACATTCTTCCAGCTCTCTCTCAGGGGCAGTTGGTTCGGCTTTCTCTGGTATCTTCGGACCTGGTCATCGTCTTCATGGAGGTTTGACTTGAACCGTTTTTCTTCATCTCCATCCCTTTTCTCTCTCAGCGGGATGCTGAATCATCCTATCACCCCCCCCCAAA